AAATAGTCATGTTCCCAGAGCTCCTGTGTTCACAGAGAAGTACTTGTTGCCATGTTGTGTTGACGTTGTCCCATACTGGGCATATTTGGATGCAAAACTGCCCCTGCAGCCTGTGTCAGTGGGTTGTGCTGGCTCTTCTGGGAGCACACAGGAGGAGTGTGGCTGAGTTGGGGACATGAACTGGCATCTTCTGAGAGCAGGGCTCTTTGAGATACTGAAGTTAGTCATGGTAAAAGGATATTTTCCCTTAAAAAAAAAACCAAAAACAAACAACAAAAAAACCCAAAACTCTGAGAATGTAGGGATTATATTTGCAAATACAAATAAATACATATGGTATGTTAAATATATAAGTACAGGCACTTAATGTCTTTCCATGTGCTCTATTCTATTCCCTGTGTTAAGAAAACTAAGCTTCTACACTAGAAAATAAGGTGGAATTTTGATAAATTTTTCATCTTCTATATTGACTTGCTGTTGCAAACCCATGTAATTCTGCTATATAAAAGGCATTCATTTGCATTCACATGGGTCCTCTTTTCCCTTTAACAGCCACCAAAGAGAGACAAATTATCGCTTACACTGTGCTAGAAGCCAAGGATTTGCTTTTTGCCTTTACATTTAGCAGGGCTGTGGCTGTATTGGGGTTGTCTGGGAAGCCATGGTCATGTCAGATGGGACTCAACTTGTTACATGCCGCTGCAGCCGTTATATGCTGCAGATTCAGGAGCTGGTGCTCAGCATCCCAGTACTGCATGGAGCCTTCTGGGTGGGGTGGTAGGATGGAGAGTAACCAAAATCCTGCCTTAGCCTGCTTTTGAGTGTTCCTGCAGGCTCCTGGAGGAGAATGACATTGCCCTGCCGATGCGTCACCAGTAATGGGGAGCCAAGACAGTTTCCACCACCCTGCCTAACCCCCCGGATGTGCAGGAAATTATGCTGTAGTTATAAAATAATCTTGGGTAATGGCATATTGATGAAGGCAGGGAAAAGGTGGTGTCTGGGAGTGGGTTTTCTTCCACCTGGAGAAGGGAGGCTGTGTACAATTGCTGCGCTTGGAGGGGGGTGTCAAAAAATGGCATCACCTTAAAGTAAGACTTGGGTGTAAAGCACCCCAGGAGGAAGGATCATACTCTGGCTCTGGGTGTGTTTCTTCTGCAAAATTCACTGTGACTCATCCTGAAGGTGTTGCCTCTAAGCTATCTGCTTTTTGACCCACTCTTTTGTTCCAATTAGAGACCATTTGGTTCCCTTTTCTATCCACATCTCTTAAGCCGTATCATTTCTATCTCCCTTTATGCTGTCCTTTTTATCCTTCATATTCCTAACCCATCATCTCCACCTTCCCCCACATTCTGCCCTACCAAGCCCCCTACTCTTTCCTCTACCCCTCAACACCTTCCCTTTGTCCACCTTTCCCTCTTTTCCACTGCCCATAAATACCTCTTGTATTTGCAAGAACGTCAGTGTGGGGAGATGGGAAGGACAGTGCCCGTGGAGTATGCTGTGCTGCCCCATCTAATAACATATGTATCAGACACTTCTCCCTTGAGATTGCAGCCTCTGGAAGCCCAAGACAAACCTTTCAACAAGATTAAAGAGATGGTATTAATTGTTATCGATCATGGGTCAACAAATTAAATTGCATCTGCAACTGCACCTCTGAAAGGTCTAAATAAAAAAGGTAGTTAATGGGTCTGGCTGGCCCAGAGCTGTGATTAATTAAGGGGAGAAATGAACTACAACATTAAAAAAAAGACAGAAAGGAGGTGATTGAGATCAGGCTGAAGTCCTTTGGCGTGTCAGGTGAGCACTCAACAGCATTTCAGTTCTGGATTCACCCTGCCTGGCCTGAGCCAGGCTGCTACAAAGCGGAGCTGGTGGCAGTGATTTTAGAGACTCGTGCTCCAATTGCCCCAGGTGCTGTTGGAAACACTGCACACCCAGGAGTGGCAACTGTTCCACAGAGACCCTCAGAAAAGCCAGTCTGTGCCCGTTGCTCCTCCCTGCTATCCCACTTTGGTGCTCAGGGAGAACTACACAATCCCTCAGTGGGACCGTGTGCCTGATGCCCCTGGATTTGGGGGAATCAGATCCCTTCTGCCATCTGAGCCAGCACTGATGGGGACCTCACAGAAATATCTGATGGAATCTGCAGGGCTTCCTCCTCATTTCACCCAAACATGCTCAGTTCACTGTGTGTGGTCCCTGAGGCATCCCTCAGCCAGCAGCTGGAGTTTTATCCCATTTGTTTCATGGACTCAATGCCCTGGAACAGCAAAGGGGAAAAAAGTAGCATCCCCCTGGTGTTCAGGAATCCCTGTAGGTAATGCTCTTTCAGCTCTCATCCAGCATGGCAGCCAGCACCACAGCATCCCTGTGGGAGCGGGAAGTAAAGTACTCCTGGGTGGGAATAAGGGTGCCACTGCAACTCCTTGGGAAATAATGATGAAGCACAGCATGGAATAGAGATGGTGCTTAATTAATAGTGAAGAAAATAATATGCGGGATGTATAGTGCTGTACTTGTTCCAAGCACTGTACAAACATTAACTACAGTAATTAAGCTGTAATTAATTAGAGTAACTACTAATCAGTATAAATAATGATGCATCTGGAGGTACCAAATGGAGTTTGTGAACTGAAAGCAAATTTCCATGTTCAGGAAATGGCACCAAATATAAAATGGCACCCATAAAAGACAAAAACAGATGGGGATTAAAGCAAGAGCCTGGGAGTTGTGTCGGTTCATGACGGCTCCACAGAACTGAATCCCAGTTTGGCACACATCTTGTGACAGAGCAAAGCTGATTTGCTGATTTACTGATTCACTGCTGAGGAGCTCCCTGGGCAACCCATCCCATCCACAGGACTTCCACGACTGCTTCCAGGCTCCAAGCCTGCTCCTCCCATCCCAGCTGCACTCACCGGTGCTGCAGAGTCAGGGGCTGAAGCAAGGGCTGGGAGGAGGACCTGGGAGCTTGAGGAGGTAAAATACACCACAAATATATAATTTTGGGGATTTTTTTGCTGGTTCACACAGTTTATATTTAACAAAATAATTTTTAATAATATAGTCTTTTACACATCAAATATTGTTTCTAGACACCCCCCCACCCCCCAGTTTTTACAGACTGTTTCTGTTTTTCTCACTAGTTTCAGGCACGCTATTGTTTGAAAAGTTTGAAACCAGGTAGTCATTGACAGGCAACAACTGACAAAGAAACGTGGCGATGACATCTTTAATGGTACCAGTTCTACTCGCAGGAAGCCAATGCTCAGCCTGAAGTACAGTGATGGCTACAATCACCAGTGCTCCTCCTACCCCCTGCTCTCTGGTAAAATACAAAAATTGGGAAGAAATCAAAAATACCAAGGCAGCAGTGTGCATAATAGACAGAGCCCAACCGTGCTGATCTGCTTCGGTGGAGGATGCTGTGAGCAGGATTTGCTGCCGTCACTGTTAAAAGCAAGTGCCGGACTGAAATCTGAACAAAATAAGCACCACCACCCTAATGGCCATGGCCAAAATGCAGCAAAACAAGTGTGGACAATGATGGGAAAGGCTTGTGGAGCAGAGAAATGACATTGGTGGCTTTTCTCTCACAGTATCGCTTGGAAGCTGCAGCCTGAGAAAGCACAAGGTGTCAGTGCCAAAAAGCCTGAAGGGGCCCCTTGGCTGCTGGTGGGGAACCTCTCCTTCCCGCAGGCAGGCACATAGCTGCTTTCTGAAGAGATCCTTCCCCAGGAAATTACTTCCACAGATGCAGCCTGCCTGTCCCCGTGCACCGTGGCTTGCTTTATCTGCAGCAGAACGGATGCTCCTGGAACTGGGGGAGAGCCAGGGCAGCTCCCTCGGGTCTCACCCTCTGGTGCAGTGATGGGACACTTCTGCAAAGCTCCCTAAGGGCGATAGGCAGAGAGAGATCAGGTGTTTTAATTCTGACTTGTGGTGGCCACGTCCCACTGCCGCTGAAGTCACAGAAATGATGCCCTTGGCTCCAGTGAAAGCAGCCCCAGCACCAGCAAAACAGAAATGGGGCAAGGCTCATCCTAAGAGCCAGCAGAGCTGTGGTACGGTTGGGACCCTCCTCCCTCTGCTCCACCACTGACGCCCCAGCCACAGAGACAACGCAGGTAACACATTGCTTTCTTGGTGCCCTTCCAGCCCATTCTGGCTCGCCACCCCGGCCTGGTCCGTGCAGCCGGTGTTGGCTTGTTGTCTGATCAAGGTCACGGTGACTGTGTAGGTGTCTGACTTTATTGTCCCCACTCAGTGGAGAAAGTGTTAACACAGATACAGCTTGTGTCTCGGGTGTCCAGTGGCATACCTGTGCATCTACCATGGTCTTTCTGCAGGTTACATTCCAGTCAGGGTTCTTTCTTAGACCCTTCTTCCCCTTCCCTCCTGTCATTAACACACACACACCCCCACGCGCCCATTACAGACACAATCAAAATGATCCATCACTTGAGTCACAGCTGTATTGTCCTGACAATAACAGCTTAGGAAGCATCTTAAAAAAAAAAAATCACATTAGCAAAATAATCCTTGAATAAATAAATGTGGAAAACCCCCAGGATCCACACTGTAGACAGTGACAGCAGTGACTCAGTCGGAGGCATCACCAGTCTGAGAACTTATGTGGGTTGTTTTCCATCGGTCCTCCCCAAATGTGACCACCGTGTCCCTGTGAAGCACTGATAATTACTAAAGCAGAGTCGATACCTAGATAAAGGATACATAGTGTGTAAAGCGGGACAGGAGCAGGACAGGAGGGAGAGGGAGACCCTTCCCCACAAGTAAAAACCTCTGCTTGTGTGAAACTCTTGCAGGTTTTGCTGGTGACCCTGTTCCAGCTGGCGGGAGGTCGGATGCATGTGCAGCATCAAAGATGTTCCATTGTCATCATCATCATTGTCATCATCATTATCAGGGGGCTGCTTGTCCAGCAGTGCCACTGACAGGGGATTTTCCACTACAGAGCCTGCTTGCCCTGGCACTCGCGCTTGGAGCACTGCGCCGGCTTCCACCAGTCCCCATTGTGGCAGTGGCAGATGTTGCAGTCGTCCACCTTCACCTCGATGCCGGCAGGAATTATCGTGGTTCCTGCAAAGCAGTTTGGACCTGCAGAAACACACGTGAGTAACAGGAATAAATACCTTTTTGGTTCTAAATTGGGCATAGCAGCCCTGCTCACAGCACCTGGGAGCAGGCAGGTGCTCAGCCCCAGCTCCTTGCTGCGCTCCAGTGCTGCATTGCCACTGCTGAACTCGGCAGCAGTGCTCCCAGCCTGCTCGGTGCCAACCTTCACCCCATGCTGATCACTTGCCTCATTTTTCTGGCTGCCCTCAGGCACTAAAGGGAAAATAAAAAGGCCTCAAAACTTTCCTTCTCCTGTTTCTATACCCACCCCTTATACAAATAGCACTGGATGCCCCATTGATGCACCCAGGTTCTTCTACTCAGTTGTCCTTTAATTTAGTCTGTCTTTCACCTAAAATTTGGCTGTGAGATGGACAAGACCATGAGGACAAACATCAAAACACAAATGAGCCTTTGCCAGGTGACACTGCGTTGAGCTGCAGGGACTGGAGCCAATTCATCCCTCAGGACCATGGCAGCCATGCCTGAATGCCCAGTAATCCCACCAGCTCAGGACTATTAGCCATAGAAGATTTATAGCACCTTCCAGATAAGCTTTCTGATAAAACCTGGGTCTTCTCAAGGGCAATTCCTTTAATCTGCTCATTACTGCTAATTGCTGTGGACTTCTGTATTGTACAACATCAAAGCAGCAAGCCAGCAAGGATCTTACTTTCCTCCTTCTCTTAAAAGTCCCACAAATACCCATGGCCCAGCTGTCCCTCTGCACACCCTCTCCTCCTCCCCTCTTGTTCCTGCATCAGTTAGTGCCAGGAATTAATGGCAGAGGCCACAGCACATGGGGAAAATAATCAAGGTGGCTGCATGCATGGTATAGGTGAAGCATGAAGACATTTCAAAAGTGTCTGGTGGCTCGAGTGCTGCTCTGAAATGTCACCCCTCAGCTGGCCACTGGTTTTAATCTATGCCTCCAGTGCACGAATTGTATTCAATAGATGGCAGCGTGTGCAGACCTGAAATTACAGGCAGGTTGTTAGTGTTTAAAATAAGGCTTGACTGTTCGAAAGGGAAAATAGGGTCCCTGCATGGCTGGAAACAGGCTGAGCTGTAGCCAACCCAGTGCTGGGCTCTCATGTTTTATAGTCTCACAGAACTATTAATTTTATCTCCCTGACTTTATTGGTGCTCCTCAAGACCCTATGTTTGAGCTCAACGGACCATGAGTTTGACAGGACTGGGCTTAACCAGATGTAGACAATGCAGGTTGCTGCTGAGCCAAACAGTGAGCAACTTTTCTGAGCAACTTTTCAGATCTATTTCAGTGAAGCCACAACAGAAGAGCCTGAGCAAGATGCCTCTGATGGCTCCTGGAGCAGAATTTGGGGTGAGTGGGTGTACCCCAGGGCTGCTGCTTCTGCTCACAGTCAGGACCTGGGAAGGCAGGCTCTGGTGCAGGGAAGCCCTGTGTCTCTCCAAGCATGTTGCCTCCTCCTTTGCCCAGCCAGCATGTGAATCCACCAGGATGCCAGGAAGAAGCAGGCTTTTGGCTCCAAAGAAGGAAATGCAACACCACTGGCTGAGCTAGAGTTCAGGCTGTGGTGAAGTGCTGGCAATTGCGGAGCAGTGCACTGAGCACAGGGATGTCTGCTTTGGGCTGGGCAACCGCCAAAGGTCCCCTCCAACCTCAGTCATTCCATGGCACAAAGAATTTCAAAGCCAGGAGTTACCAGTCAAGGGCATGCAGTGATACAGAAAAAACAGACTATGTACACATATGCATATACTAGACATGTTTTTCTTTACATGCATGAAAAAGTCATGACTCGTTTTAAGTCACAAGCTCAAAATTTCCAAAGTTGGCATTTCTCTGGAAAACACGATTCTGGCTGGAAAGGCTGTGATCCCAACTGCAGTTTTGCTCTGGCAACCCACTGAAATTGTTACTTCTTCACAGGGCTCTCGGGTCCCTGCACTGGCTGTGCTGCTGCCTGTCCTGTGCTCTTCATCACAGAGTTTAACTCTGTTTCGTCAAGCCTGGTGGGTGTTGCTGTGTTGTGACACCCAGCATGGGCTTCACCAGCAGGTTGGCTCATTTGCTGCCACTCCATGTCCAGGGTTCAAACGCAATGAAAATGCCACTAATGGTAGATAGCTGTATTTAAAGTTGAAGTCAGCTCCTGTCCCTCTTTAACAGGATACTCTGATTGCCTGCCGATGGCAGGGACACACAGGATGGGCAGCGCTCCCCCCCAACACCCCCCCAACCCCCCCCCCCGCTCCCTCAAGCAAAGAACCCTTTTCATTAAAACTTAAACAAAAAGCTTCCTCTGGAGCTGAGGGTGGCAGGGAAAATGGAAGAGTGTTTTCCATCTTGTTGCCCTGCGGCTGCCTGTTAATTATCTCATTTGAGAAGCCAATACTGCCTTGTCACCCACACACGTCTGTGGGTGCTGAGCTCATTCAGTGTGGCTGAAACCACATGGGAAGCTGGTGAAGACAGGAGCCAGCCTGTTTTATCACTCACTGGTGGGCCAACCATCACTGTCTGACCTGGGTCTGGGGACCCTGTGACCCCCTCATGTGGTGTTGGCTGCATCCCTGCACTGAAACACCGCAGCAGCAGAGGATGGCTCAGTGAGTTAGGACTGGCTGATGCGGTATTGCAAACTGGGGAAAAGCTTATTTTAACTTGCATGGCCACAGCTGCCCTTTCTCCTCCTGGCAGTCCCAGGTTCCTTCTCCCTCTTGAGCTTCCCCAGTGGGGTCATTTGGACATCCATCTCTTCTGTCATTTACTTTTAATTTAGACAAACACTACCACTGCTCTGGACCTCTCTTTTGCCCCAGCACTTTCTCAAAATAGCCACCTCTGCACTGCCAGAGTGAAATGGTTTCTTTTGCTCATCACAGCAAGCTGGATGGAGCATTTCTGCACCCCCACTCCCCACCCTTATGGAAAGGTGGCTTTCCACACTCCATTTGTGAGAATTCAACTTAAATTTCCACCCCCTGAAAATTAACTTTCCAGCACAATTGCTATCAGCCAGCACACCTCCCTGTTTTTCCCCATCTAAACTTCTCCCACCTTCATATTGGAAAAGCGGATCCTGTTTGTCAAAAACGGGATGCAGTGAGCATCACACTTCTGGCTGAGGCATGACAAAGATGCACTCAGAGGGGTACTGCATTGCTGAAACGCAATTGAAAATATGCCCACAAGTGGCATTTCCTATACTATGGCACAAGCCACCAGGGGATCTTCCAGTAACATCCAGCACTAGGGGATGCTACATGGCTTTATGATGTGCCTTAGAGAGGAACTGCAGCCATGATGGGATCTCACAGCAAGAAACCAATCCTTTTTTAGCTCTGCAGCTAACCAGACTCCTTTAGGTTCTCCATTTCCCTCCCCTAGATAAGCCCCTCAGCATTTCAAAAGCTCAGTGCCCCAAACCCACACTGCTGGGGACTGTCCTGAGCTGCTCCCACTGTGGCTTTGTGCTTCTTGGAGGAGCAGGCTGAGACCAGGATGTGCCCAACTGATGTAAAGAAGATCACAAAGAATGAGACTGACCAGCACAGCAATGTGGGTTTGTTTTTTTTAAATTATTATTCAAAGGAAGATGCTGCTCAGAAACAGTTGATGACATGTCAAGCATGTCAGCACATTTACTTATGATATTAGCAGTAGGAACAAGAAGCTGCTTTGGGCAAGGGCTGTCGTCCCGGTCTTTGTAAAAGCATCCTAAACCACAAAAACAGGGCCATAATCATCCTCTTTTCCTTGCTCAGGGAGACTGATGGGACAAGTTTGCTCCTCCCACAGACACCGTAATTGTGAGATTTGCTTTGCTTAACATAGTTAATGCTCAGACCACAGAACTCCAGGATGTTTGCTAGAACAACTGTGAAGATTTTCATGAAGATATATTAGGGACATTCAGATGCTGCTTTGATGGGAGAGAGCTAGAAAAATCCCATATGGTTTGTTGTTTGGGAAGAGTGATGGCAAAGTTTGCAACTGTATGTGTAAGACCAGATGCCTGGGTGATGACCCATGTTGTGCTGCTGAACTTCACCACTGGTATGGAGGGAATACATCTAACCCCATGCTCAAGCATTAATGCATTCCTGCTACCTCGTGCAATGCTACCCAAGGGTGTGAGATTAAGTCCTCTTGGGAGTCTGGCATGATGGTGTTATAAGGAAACTCAAAAGCCCCTTGATCTGACATTTCCTATCAAACTGGAAAAAACTCACAGCCCAAAGGCAATAGGAGCAGCCACTCCAGCTCACAAGCAAACTGCATCTTCTGCACAGTCCCCACCACACCACTATGGGGATGAGGAGGAAAACACGTGAATTCCAGAGCACACTGCACAGATGCCAAGTTAAAGCTGGAAATAGCAGGAGTGTGCAGTCTGATGCATGCAGTGTCATGCTGATGATTTGGGGTGACTTGGTGCTGAACACCAGCCTGACTCCTGGGGGCTGTGGGCTTCAGGCTGCTCCCAGTTACTTCTCTGGTGGTTTTACTGAACTCAATAGCTTTGCTCACAGCTTACAGCAGCTCTGGATTTAGCTTTGTGTGTGCAAAGAAGCAATAAAAGGAAATCAAATGTTAAGCACCACAGCAAGCACGAATCACTTCAGGCCAACTGTGATATTCAGATTTGTCCTGAATAGGATCTTGCACCAGGCAAAGCTCATCACCTTCACTGGAACTTCTCATGGTACAACATCTGATTTCCACAAGCAGTGGTATTTTCTTGTTAAATATTTTCCAGTGATAATTCTATGTCTCCAGTCACTACTTTAGGAGCCTCCCCATCTCTTTAGGAAATACTAAAGTTGACTCCAAGATAATTTACCTTATTCAGTCAATGAACAATGTCAAGGAGAGAGGTGCTGATAGCTACACTTACCTACCTCGCACTGGTAGTTTAGATAGCTGCTAAATAGCAACTCAATATAGCAACCTGTCCCCTAGGCTCCCCTCTGATGTGTCTCACAATATAAGT